AAACATTGATTCAACAATCTAGTCAATATATACTTTAAAAAACAATATTGCCGTGAGCATACCAATTAGCTCAACTTTCTTGCAGTGAATAGCCAAAAAGAATTGATACGAAGTGTACTATTAGGTTGTATCGCTTCACAACCAGTCAGTACATATCCAATTATATATCGAGAAAACACAACACAATTTGTTTCGGATCGGATCTAACCCGTTTTTCATGCTTGTAAAAACATGTATTTTTTTTATTCACCTTAGTTCATATCATTTGATCTATTTTTTTGATATTTTAAACACTTGAGAAGGAATTCGTCTTCACTGACGCCTTATAAAATATTTCTAAACTCTACATCCTTATTTATCCTTTGTACATGTTTTTTTTTAAATTTATCTACTTTTCTGTTTACTTTAATATTTTTGATCATAGAAATTAAGGAAGAGGTTTGTGGATGTGTTAGAAGTCGTTAGAAGAGAAAATTGTGTGCACAGATCGACCTGGAGATAGTCATAGCCGTCAGTCGGTCCCGACCCACACAGAGCCCACCAAGCCACTACCACCTGCTCGATCGAACGACCCCTATCAAACCGGTCGGACTAGTCGGTCGGTGTAGTACACCCGTACCAAGATAATTTTTTGTTGATTTTTGCGATAGTTGACTCGATTTGTTTTGGTTTGAATCTGATTTTGCATCGGTTTAAACCCTCTAAAATCCTCATTTTCGAGTATATTTTCCTTCTCTGTCATTTTTCCCTTTTGCATTAAAAGCTTCATTTTCACTCTTAAGCTCTCTCATTTCTCACTCTCACACACTTCCACTCAATTTTAAGAGGATTTCAAATATATCACTATCTTTAACTCTTATGTCCCTCACTTTTGCCAAGGACAAGCTATGCTTTCTTTCTCTCTCAACCCATCTCCTCTTTTAAAGCTAATGGAAGCTTACATTTTTCTTTATAGTTTTAAAATGGCATGCTTTTGCTTTGGATAAAATTTATATGTTACTACATTAAAGACCCACATATATGCGGATTTGTAAATTAATTCCATGAATAGATATATTTAATTAGAAAACCAAAATTAGATCATCCGTTAAAATAAAAAATATATATAAAAATAGAAATGTTTATACAAAACAATTGATTAAGAAACATAATATTTATTTATTAATTTTGATGCTTTTATTATTTGATTTATAATTAAAATTTATCACATATTTTCAAATTATTAGTTTTTCTTATTCCTATTTAAATTAGGTATACTTTTTTATTTTACTATTTTACTACTCAAACATCTATTTTTAAAATGTTGATGAATTTATTCTCATACTTTTATTTGAAATATTTTTATTCTTTAAGTATTTTGTAACTCGTG